TCCAGTGAATTTTAGGGAAGTCCAGAGAACTTTGTGGAAGTGCAGATAAATTCTCGAAAGTTTAGAGATTTTTAGGAATGTTACGTGAACTTCCGAGCAGATCCGAGATCTTCAGGAAAATACCGGGACCTTCACGGCTGTTCATCATCTGGACAACTTCAGGAACACTTTAACCTTTGCCTAAATTTTAATATCTGACTGTAGCAAATTACATTTCAAGTTACCCTATCAGCAGATATCTGTTGGAGATTAATGATCTTGTTTAAATTAATGGCGTCTATTGCCTGGTCCTCTGTAATACAGTGAAGCGTTTCGTTATGATCGCTTCCCGATTCTTATTTGTCAACGAAGACTGTGAAGCAAGTATGGTGGGATAGAACCGTGATTAGGGGTTTGGCTTATCAAGGGTCTGGGTTCAACTCTCATTGTGTAGAGTATTTTACGTCTCAGGAACGAGTTGATGGCATTCTATGAATGGCGCACTTCAAGCTTATTGCAGACAAGATTTATCTCATACCCACACAGTTCGAAAAAGTAGTGTAGATTTCTGTTCAATATGATGTGGATAAATGGAGTGTCACTTATTAAGTTTACAATATAAATTGAGTAAAGGTCTGATACATGAAATTTTGCGAATATTGTATGCAACCGTCCATATTGCCGTTTGCTTGAAATGCAATAAAAACGCATCAATGTTTACATCATACACACTAAGAAATTATCGCCGACTTCGGTAATTTTTACCGAAATCTAAACAGCTGAACTTTTCGGTAAAATTTATGCAATTCAATTCAATTGCTTTTCAGCTACTTTGAAACTAAATCTCCACTAAAATGACAAGATTTGATCATTTAAGCAAGGTTGAACATGTTTTGATATTTTTTTTTCAAATTCAATAGCCTTTAAAATGAAGGTCAAAGTTTTATCGAACGTTCAGCTGTTCTGATTTCGGTAAAATTTACCGAAAACGGAAACAAAATCTTGGTGTGTAAGTAAAATTCAGATTTTTGTTGCAGTGCAGTGTAAAATAGAGGGAACTAAATTGCGTTTATGTTGTACATGCAGTTATACATTCCTATATTACAATTATGGACTATTGAATGGGGCGTATGAATTTGAGTTAGGCGGAGCGCGCACATCTAGTAAGCAACCAGCTCCAAGGCTGTGTTCCATTTGGTGAATTTTCACTTAAATTTGACACTTCGAAAATAAATTAAGATTTTCGAAAATCCCTCTGTTGTTGATCTTCCTATTTTCGAGAAGGTGTTTGTCAAAATTGATTCCTAGTATGTCAGAAATAAGTCTGGTACAATAGCAGATTTATTTGAAAATTTTCCATCTGTCAAATTTAAGTAAAAATTCACGAAATGGAACACAGTCTAAGTTTACCAAGACAGCACAGATAGTTGTGGTAGTTTTCCTACAATAGTGGAATCCGATCAAAACCAATATGTTCCACTATTATACTGCCCATAATCGCATATCAGTCCCATATGGATAGGAAATCAAGCAAAGATGGGACTGATATGCGATTATGGGTAGTATAGGATCCAAAGTTAGCAACTACCACAACTACTGGAACATTAATGGTGGACGCGTCTTCGAAAAATATATACAGTTTAATCACATTTTAATATATTTCTAACAAAATATTTTTGATTTTTTTTTAACACTCCGGATACGATGCCTCCGAAAATCGGGTAACGGCAAGTTTGCAATAGCATTACTTAGCCATTTCTTAATGAATTTCAAAAATTGTGGTACCTCTAAAAATTCTAGGGTCTGTAGATTATTTTTATTGTAAAAAGATAAAAAATAGGGTTGTCTACTTTATTCAGAAGCGAAAAGAGTCGTTACACGTTTTTTTTTTAAGGAGTGTTTATGGGTTTTGCAAGTGGCCTAAGATCTATAAATTAGATGAATGGGCACAAATGTTCATAATTAGCCAGAATACAGTCATGGTTCCTATATATGGATCATGGAGACAACGAAACGGTCCTCCGGAAGATTCGGAACATGCTTAAAATTGATCAATCCACGAAACTAATCCTAGAGCTCCGCGTTTTTTTTCGAAAACATCAGGAACTGTGATATAGGAAAAAAAAATTGGGATCATGACATAAACACGGACCCGGATGGCCATGGGAGCGTACTCAGGAAGATCCAAAACATCTGTGAAAGTAGTCAATCCACGAAACTAATCCTAGAGCTCCGCGGTTTTTTTCGAACACACTTGGAACTGTGATATAAGAAAGAGTTTGGGGTCGTCACATAAAACGCGACCAGGATGGCCATGGGATCATCCTCATAAAGATCCGGAACATCCGTAAAAGTGATTCATCCATGAAACTGATTCTAGAGCTCGCGTTTTTTCGAAAACACTAGTAACTGTGATATAAGAAATAATATAGGGTCGTGAAATAAACAGGAAGATCCGAAAGATCCTTAAAAGTGGTCCATCGATGAAACTGATCCTAGAGCTCCGGGGTTTTTTTCAAAAACATTAGTAACTGTGATATAAGAAAGAATTTGGGATCATGACATAAACCTGGACCTGGCTGGCTATAGGACCATCCTCCGGAAAATCCGAAACATCCATAAAAGTGGTCCATCCATGAAACTGATCCTAGAGCTCCGCAGTTTTTTCAAAACACGTGGAACTGTTGTATAAGAAAGAATTTGGGGTCGCGACTTAAACATGAACCCGGATGGTTATGGAACTGTCCTTCGAAAGATTCGGAGCATCGGTAAAATTGGTTCATCCATGAAACTAATTCTAGAGCTTAGCAGTTTTTTTTTTTTTTTAATCTCTTGGAACTGTGATATAAGAAAGGTCGTTACGTAAACATGAACCTGGATGGGCATGAGACCGTCCTCTGGAAGATCTGGAACATCCTTAAAAGTGGTAAATCCATGAAACTAATGCTAGTGCACCGCAGTTTATTACAAAAATATTAGGAACTGTGTTATAAGAATAAATTTGGGGTCGTGATATAAACATGAACCTAAAATCGCCATTGGACCGTCATTCGGAAGATCCGGAACATCCGTAAAAGTGTTTCATACATGAAACATACTTCGAAAACTTCACAGCTCGAAGTGTTCTCGAGAAAACCGCGAAGTTCAAGAATCAGTATCATCGATGCACAACTTTTACGGATCTTCCGGAAGACGGTTTCATGGTCATCCGGGCTCATGTTTATGTTACGACCCCAAATAAATTCTTATATCACAGTTCCACGTGTTTTCGAAAAAAAAGTGGAACTAATGGATCAGTTTTATGGATTGAGCATTTTACGGATGTTCCGGATCTTCCAGAGAAAGATTCCATGGGCTCGCAGGTACATGTTTATACCATGACCCCAAATTTTTATATCACAGTTCCTAATGTTTTTGAAAAAAATCACGGAGTTCTAGGATCAGTTTCATGTATTGACCATTTTTAAGGATGTTCCAGATCTTCCAGAGGGACGGTCCCATGGCCTTCTAGGTACATGTTTATGTCATGACCCTTAATTAATTTATATATGACACTTCCACGTGTTTTCGAAAAAAAACCGTGGGGCTCTAGGATCAGTTTCATAGATTGAACACTTTTACGGATGTTCCGGATCTTCCGGAGGATGGTCCAATGGCCATCCGGGTCCATGTTTATGTCATAAACCCAAATTATTTTTTATATCACAGTTCCTAATGTTTTCGAAAAAACCGTGGAGTTCTAGGATCAGGGGCTTATGGATAGACCGCTTTTACGAATGTTACGGATTTTTTGAGGACCGTTTTGTTATCTCCAGGTTCCATATATAGGAGCCATGGCTGTATTCTGGTTAATTATGAACATTTGTGCCCATTAATCTTATTTATGGATCTTAGGCCACTTGCAAAACCCATAAACACTTCTTTAAAAAAAACGTGTAACGACTCTTTTCGCTTTTGAATAAAGTAGACGACCCTATTTTTAATCTTTTTACAATCAAAATAATCTACAGACCCTAGGAATTCTAGAGGTACCACAATTTTTAAAATTAATTAAGGAATGGCTAAGTTATGCTATTGCAAACTTGCTGTTACACGTTTTTTGGACGCTTCGTAGTCGGCGTAAAGTATTTTACCCACCGTATTCGGAGTGTTAATAAATAAACTGTCTTAAAAGCTGTCCAGACTGGAGAGTTATAACATGTTATAACGGTTGTCAACTGATTGCAACACAGAAACCACCATCAATATAGCGCTATAACATGTTATAACTCTATAGTCTGAACGTACGATTAGTTCCTCCACTACTAGCTCACTTACCCTAATTAATTTTGACGAAAACATATTTCCGTTAATTTAAATCCATATAAAAAAATCACTGTTTTGACTACAAATTACTAGAATTTTGGTTCAATTTGCTTCAAGAAATATTCGTTTATGAAAGGGTACAAAGAGATGTTTAAATAAAATTGCACAAACATCTTATAGACACAGCCAGTCAAGCCTAAAACTATACAAATAAATTTTGAATATTTGATAAATGGGCAGCTAAGGTGCCAAGTTCGAAATTAACTACCGTCCTTATCTCGTTCGATATCATGTTAGCAAAATATATCCTACATTTTGTCATCCGATCTGATTTTCAGGCTATTGGAGATATCCTAGCTTAGCTACGGTATTACCAAGACGAAGGCGGCGGGTGCAATTCACGGTCCGGTCGAGAAAATCTTTCGACTTGGAGATGTTCTCGACTTCCTTGGGCATAGTGCTTTTTGAAAACTACACTTCAACAATGTATTAAAACAATTTGCCAATAAACATTAATTATCAATTGCTTTCCACATTCCACTATTTTATAAATATATATATGACGCGTAATCTGTATTCTGAATTCTATTCAAAACATTCTATCGGCTAAACTCGTATGCAGCTAAATTTGCATATATCTTCCGAATTAATTCAGTCATGTTCAGCCAGCTTGTCCTTCGAATTATCTCATTTGAGGAAATATTCCATTTACTAACCCAAGGATATGGATCCCACTTGCTTCGCGACAAATGAAACCCACATGATCCAGTCGACTGCTTCGGGATGTGTAGTATCCTTACAGAAGGATTGTAATGGTCATCTGCTGTAGCAGCAGCATCATTGCCATCGGTATTCACGGTTCCGTCACCACTCAACTTTGACATTGAACTTGACTTTATCACTGCTGTTTCCACCATTTTTCACCACTAATAATTTGAAGGATCTAGTCCTTCCTTCGATTTCACACGAGCACAGCCTATTTAAATCCGCTACTTAAGACGCAATCAATTGAATTTATAAAAAAAAAATAAAGTTATCACAAACGTACTACGTTTCCAACCCGTTCAATCGCGCACCTCAGAAATGACTAAAATCGTGTGCGGGTTCGCCGCTTGTCTTCCTTCCTCATAGTCTGCTTCCAATGCGGATCGAACGAACGAACATGTTTTGGTTTTGAGGCGTCGCACTCGAGTCTCGATTCGTGATTGGGCTTGGATGCGGTGACGCGTCGTAGCGGAGGTGCGACGAAATCCACTTAACTTTCAATATCAACTAGTCAAGCGGTCTACGACACATGGCAGCCTTGCACAGTGGGATTTTGAAGCAAATATTTAAATTTGCGGTTATGTGGGTCATGTAATTGCAGGCACAGATGCAGTCAACATTAGTTTACTTTAAACGTGGAAAGCCTGGATTTTGAAGGAAACTTAATATTTTTAATTTTGTAAACTTAGCCTCGTACTTATGGCTTGAACACTTCGACCATCGCATGAAGAAATGATGATCAAAATCGTTCAAGGAATCACGTGACTATATAAGCTAAATTGAAGAACACGAATTGAGCAGATGAAAGGTGTTTGCAATCAACATCCAGAACCGATCGTGATCAACCAAGTGTGTTTGTTCTGGTCACAATATCTATCCGTTCACTAGGGCAGTTGTGTACTCAAAAGCAAAGGTTTAATACTCGATTGTGAGCAAACGAAAAGGAATTTGGCTATGAAACTGGTACACAACATCCGCAGATCGCTTAATTCCATGCAGTCAATCAATGCTATAGCAGCTAGTTTGTTCTATTATAGATTGTGGTAATTGAATTGTATATTTCAAAACTATTTAATCCGTCGCACTTATTCGATAACAAGAAAAAGTCAACAACACCTACGTACAGACATCTCTAGGCATTTAAACATTGACATTGACCTTCACCTGTGCTGGTGCTGATCAAAGGCGCAAAGCATGCACGTTCTGTCGTTGCGGATTGTGAGGTTGTCTCGAAAAGGAATATAGGATTTACTGTGGCTAGTGGTGACACACGGGTATTCTAGGACGTTGTATTTTTCTCAGTTTTTAAATGAGAGTTTAACTTCATAACTATCCTAACGAATTATAGCAGCTTTAATATTATGTTAACACTATCTTGATGACATATTACTTGTCCACAATTATTATAACATGTTATAACTCTGATGTCAGGCAATTTTAAGGAAATTATTTTGAGAAAATAACACCATTTTTCTAGAGGCATCCCACTCTAAACTTTGTATTATCCCTCTTATACAAATAAAACTTTTATTGATATCTAAGATACATAAAAATACTAAAGTACTCGGTTGCTATACCGATTAAATTTGTTTGTTTATTCAATGTCAGGAGATTTGTGTCGATTTTGGTGAATTTTTAATGAAATTTAAATTAATTTTATTAGAAGAGACATACAGCTCACGAACCGTTTCCGGTGTAATTCTGTTCGACCGGAATCAGAAAGAGTTCATTTTGTTCTGATAGACATGGGGACCTTTTGTTGGTTTCTCGTTCGGTTTGAATTCTATAATTTTTATTCTCTATGTGAGTATTGTGTTATAATCGATATAATTGTACTTTTTGTCCGCTAGGTTCTTGCCCGTCAAACGATGAATACGGGTATATTTCTTTGTTATTTATTTATTTGTCAGCATCAACAGACTCGATATGCTCCCAATGATGGTTTAACTTAAAATTAAAATTAAAGTCATAAGTTAAAACTACAAAACATTAAAACATGATCATTGACTGTTTCCATTTCTGGAGAAGAATGAAGAGAAACGTCTCCGAAGTGTTAGTCGTGGCAGGTGAAAATCGAATACTGATGAAACTCGGTTAAATACTCACTGCAGTCCGCCTTAGAGTCTGTGTATAATGCAATGAGCTGGATTACCGAGGTGAAGCAATCACTCACACAACCACTGTACGTTACACGCAAGTACACGCAAGTAGTGACGTCACTACTTGCGTTTACGTTGATTTTTTGGTTTACTAATACAACCCTATTTCACGATCTGCGCCACCTCTCTCTGTACCTCATTGTGTATAATGAGTCACGCCAAGAGAAAAACAGTTGAACTCGCATCACGGTTTTCGAAAGATTCCCTTTCTTTTAACTTGGCAACAGAGGACTTCTGCATCAACTTCAAATGACTTTTAGCGAGGAAAAAAAATTAACGGCTGTAGTAAATCATTATATCAGTGATTTTGTCGAATTATCTTAAATAAAAATAGTAGAAATTGTCATCACTGATCATTACAAAACGTATCGTATGACAAATGTAATGCTCACTGCGTGTATATGACCATTTCTTCGATTATATTTTAAATTGATTTGCAATACCTTTCGTGGACCTTTCATAGCATCGTAATGCTTGTTTACTTTGCACGATAGGTAGCCGGTTTGACAGCTCAATAGGTAGACTTGGCTTTACTCTTGGCGTGACTCATTATACACCGACTCTAGTCCACCTATTGCACCGTTGATTGCATAGTTTGTCCTACATAGTGGCATTCTCAGCATAACATTGTTACGAAGCATTCGGGGTTGAACGTTAATATTTACTTGCTCCAAGATTGCCATGCAATCAATTCTGCCATGCAATCAATTCTGCCATGCAATCAATTCTGCCATGTAACGTGTCCGCGACAAGCAGAGCTTTTGAAGTAACTCTTCTGGTGCAAAGAGGCTCCAAGTCGATCAGCTGGCAGCGACTTTCATAGCTGGGCAAATGAAACGGGTCTCTCCAAGGTAACATTCTCAACGCGTATCGCAGAAAGCGGCGTTGAACGGACTCCACTCTCTCAGTACCATTGTTGTAGTTCTTACTCCAAACCACAGAACAATATTCTAGAATGGAACGTACCAGGGAACAAACAATACAGTGGATGTCGAAGAAATTCTTAGCTGTTCTGAAGATAAAGCCCAATGTCCTTGACGACTTGTCGACGACGTACGAGATGTGTTGCTTATATGTAAGTTGATAGTCCAAGATGACACCTAGATCTTTTACATGACTCACACGTTCAATAATGGTGTCCCGGAGAGCATAGTGAAAAATAACTGGTTGTTTCTTTCGGGTAAAAGTGATTACTGAACACTTCGCAGGATTTACTGTCATTCGGTTCAAATGGCAGCAGCTGGCAAACGCTTCAAACTGACGTTGGAGGAATCTACAATCATCGATCGAGCAGATCCGTATGTAGATTTTGAGATCGTCTGCATACGATAGTCGTGGGCCTTCGATAACTAAATTCACGTCATTGAAGTGGAGTAAGAAAATCAACGGTCCCAGATGGTTTCCTTGAGGTATTCTTGACGTAGCTGCGAAAATGTAGGGCTGGCAGTCACCATGGGCTACCACCAACTGACGATCGGCGAGATATGAGCAAAACCATCTCAAGAGATTTCCGCTAATCTCAAGTCTATCCAATTTGACGATCGCGATGGCTTCTTCTTCTTCTTCTTCGCATTTTAAGCTTATTGCATATCGCATATTAGCTTATTGCGTGCTCTCAACTTAGTGTTCTAGATGCACTTCCACAGTTATTAATTGAGAGCTTTCAATGCCTGTACCATTTTTGCATTGATATGATTGTGTGGCAAGTCCAATCATACTTCTATGCCCAGGGAAGTCGAGAAATTTTCCAACCCGAAAAATTCCTAGACCGGACCGGGAATCGAACCCAGCCGCCTCCAGCATGGTCTTGCTTTGTAGCTGCGCCTTTACCGACTGAGCTAAGGGAAGCCCCCGATCGCGATGGCGTGATTAATCATATCGATGGCAGCAGACAAGTCAGTGCAGATGACATCTGTTTGTGACCTTTCAACCATACTTTGCGTGATGTACGATGTCAGACACAGAAGATTCGTGGTAGTAGATCGACCAGAGGAGAAGCCATGTTGATCTTCACTTAGATACTGCTTGCAATGGGAGAGCAGAGGCTCTATGATGATTAACTCGAATAACTTCGAAATTGCGCACAACGATGTAATTCCACGATAATTATCCACGTTCCGTTTACTACCATTTTTATACACAGGGAACATATGCGCAAATTTCCAGTTCGATGCGAAAATGCCACACGATATGGACAATCGGAACAGATGTTGTAGCGGTGACAGTAAGTTAGCGATATGCTTCTTCAGAAAGACTGAAGGGACACCATCCGGTCCAGGGTTGATAGAAGGCTTTAGTTTTAGCGCGGCAGTCGTTATCACTTCAGCGTTGACAACAATTCCACCCAGAGCTTGACCGGAAAGTGGAACATTGCTTGCTGCTAGAGTCACGTATTCGTTGGGATTAAGCTCTCGTCAGAGAAGACACTTGCAAACTTATTGGAGAACAAGCGGCAGACTTCCTGTGGAGTGGAAGCGACTTCGCCGTTCAATATCATGGATGATGGTAGACCGGACTCTCTGCGCTGCTCCTTCACGTACTTCCAGAAAGACTTCGGGTGCGACTTGAACTTCCTTTGCATCCCTCGCAGATAATGCAAGTAGTATTGACGGCTGACTCGCTTGAACTGATAATTACGTTAAGCTCGTTTCAGTGACATCGTTACTGAAACGAGTTAAGTGACGTTTCAGTGACATCGTTCGATATTTAGTGAATTTCCTCAACGCGGCTCTCTTGATAGATTTCAGCTTCTTCAATTCGTTCGTCTGCCAAGGGAGGTGCGATGCAATCTGGTGAACGCTCTTAGGTACGTGTCTGTCAATGACATAAGCCAAGACATGTGAAAAAGTTTGAGCAGCGGTTTCGACGTTATCAGAATCGAGTATGTTTTCCCAATCATTGCTTGACAGCACATCGGCAATGCTACGATGATCGGCTTTCCGGAAATTGTAAGACACCATAGTGGAGATGTCTTCGAGATCCCGAATGTGATTGTCTTCAACAGTAATAACCAAAGAAGGATGATGAGCAACTTCCTTTACGAGTGGAGAAGGAGCCGAC